CTGTTTTACTTTGAGGAGTTCGACAGCCAGGTCTGTTTGATCTTGGAAAGGATAAAGCATTAATGCCTTCCCAGTGTGGTGTCCTTCCTAAAAGAGATTTTAATCTCAACAGGACTGTCCAGTAAAATAGAGGTCATATTGACGGGGCATTCAGGAAAGAAAACCAGCTGGTTTTGACCTGAATAGTGTTCTTAGCTTCTTCCTCCAGGAGGGTTTTATATCCTCCTAACCTTGGCATTTCTCTGCTTTATCCCTTAAATTCACACTCCTCATCAGTAAAATGGCAGAAGGCTACAATGCATTATAAAGCCTGAAATCCATTTTTTAAAACGTAGAATTGCCAATTATTTTTGGTTATACCCGCTTGATTTTGAGTAGCCAGCTGTGCGTTTTTCACTTCTCGGCTCGCACCTACAAACCCTGCGAGCGCACACGGGGGAGAGTGAGGAACTGTCGGCCCACTCCCCCGATCTGCCCACCTTCAAGCTTCTTGTCTTTTAACACGTCCCTGGAAGGTGACCTCGTACCACTGGAGGAAATCGGCAGCCCTCACTCACGCCAATTAGAAGTGCCCAAGATGCTGCAGAACTCGCTGTGATCCGACAGAGCCCTAGCAGACTAATCCTATCCGGTGCTCAGACAACTGCGTACTGCTTGGGGAATCCCAGTCACAGTCACCTAGTGCCATAGCCCAGGGCTTGGACCTGGGGTCACACACCTCAACGTGTGCTTATTTGAGCACTGTTCCAGAGGTGCCATCCTGCGACGAATGTTTAAGCTCTCCATCAGGAGGACAGAAACTGAACTGGAACCTGTTATCAACCATTTAATTCGGTTTCCATTAAAGCATGCTTAAAGACACAAAGAAAAGAATCGGGGATATTAAGTGACGAGTTTCATGGATCATCAAAGTCACAGATCGCCCAACAAAAACCACAGGACTGCACGCTGTGAAACAAAAGTGAAATTGTAACAAGGTGCTGTTCTGAAAGGTAGTTTTGATGTACAGCATGTTTATGAATAAAAACCTACAGGTTTGTGTGAAGTTTTGAAAAATGAAAAAAATATAGCCCAACATTCATCACAGTCACTGAAATCAAAGTATTGTCTAGCCCTAAATATAAAATCAGGAGAGAGCAGTATTTAACATGTGCTATAATCATATATGCCAATTACCTTGCTCAGACATTGTGTATGTCACAATCAAACCGAAGAGCAATCCTTTAAGACAAGTCACGTTTTTACATTTTTGGACCCAAGATTTCCTTTTCTCCTGTACTGCGAGTTTGCTTTCTTTCTTGTTTATTTAAAAAATTAACAGTCACAGCAGTGCCTGCTAAATAAATTGTCAAGTGCTGCCCCAGATTCCCGTTTTAATCTCGCTTTGGCAATTTAAGAGCGGGCCGCAGCATGCATACATATCACCAGCTCTGGAGCTCGAAACTGTCCCCTCCCTTTCAGCCTGGTTTAGTATTTTGTTCAGATCAGTTTATCTAATTTTCCAGTAAATGCTTGAAATGTATTCCTGCACACTTTCCCCCATTAAATGCTCGCCGGGGAATTGAAAAAAAAATAAAAAAATGAGAGATAAGCTCTCTACCTTCCTGCACCACCTTCAGTCATTCTTCTGTTCAAGCCTGACAACGTCCCTGTACAAAGGCAATGTGAACCAAAGCCATTTGTTACATTTATATCTTCATTTATGCTTTTTTACATAAAATGTCTCTCTGTTGTGTAAAAGCTTAAGAATACTTAAGGCTGTTGTCCCAAAAGCAAGTATCATTTAATACAAAGAAAATTCCAACTCCAGTTTCTCATACCACTCAAAATATAATCAAATACTTTTTCAATCTTTTCGTCCCTTACATTTGCATTCTTTCACTTTTGAGTTTTGAGATGCTTTTTTTTAGCATACCATGAGAACTGTATGATAGAGCTTTTGCTTGCACTAATGTTAACTGCCAAATAAACTGTCTTACATGTGCTGAAGATAACGGAAACTTGGTGCTGCCTGCAAGTGTACTGCCTGTGAAAATGTCACAACTTGACCAAAAATCAAGAAACATTCGAAATCAATAAACATGCAAAACTATCTTACGAACAAGATAGATTACATGTCATTTCCACTAAAAGTCACACAATCCTTTGCAAAAAAAGTCCTTAAATCTTCTCAGCAGGCCCTCTGTGAGTCATATCTTCAGTAATATCTACATGACGAGCATGAAAGAAAAATCCTTGCTTTAAAGGAAGATTAACTTCTCTAGTGAAGAATATGCAGGTTAAAAATGAATAGAGAATGTTGTATGTTGTGCCTGTTGGTTTAAACAACAGAAATACTCTTAGATGTTGGGAATATTTGAGGGATTATCACATATTACAGCGAAGATAAACTGAAATTTAATAATTCCAGTCTCTGGCAACCCTGAGCCAGGTGAAACAACTGCAATACATATACTAGGACACCATATACACAATACAGCACTGGGGTCTTCAAGGACTATAGCCAGTTCTATAGGTCTCAGCTGTCAAATACCAAAGACAGCATTTTTAATCATTTCTGTTTCATATGATGAAAAAGTATTTCAAGACATTTGCCAGCAAATATATGTCACCCAGCCTTCTGTAGAAAACACTGCCTACTTCTAAACTCTTATGTTTATTTATTTAACAGTCTATGACATCCCTTTAGTTGCAATGTAGCTCCGGTCACATCAGGAAAACGAGCTGCAGAGCCAGTTCAAGTAAAGCATGTTAGGCAGCTGAGGTTGGTGCTGCAGACTCCTGTTCTCTGGCCATGTGGGGAAACGTTCTGCTGATTGCTGGAGAACTGTTCTGAGACAAGTTACTCTGGTAAGGGGGGAGCCCTCAGATGCAGCTATTTTAAATCAGGAGCGAAGCACCGGTTGCTTTTTTTTTTTCACACGGATAGATGTCGGGCTGCAGCTCTGTGAAAAGCCGGAGGGACAGGAGGGAAGAACAAGACTCCGGGTTCACCAGCGCCGTGGAGACAGAGGGGTGCTTTCCCCAAAATCTCCCACATCCCGGCAACACCAGTCATTTCTTTACACAACAATCCCATCGGAAAGCTTGTCACTGTGGAAAGAGCCTAAAGCAAGCGCTGAAACGCCATCCAGAATAAACCCTTAGAAAAAGGTTTACAGCTTTGTCACACTGCATCCGTTGCCAAGAGAAAAATGACACAAAAGTGACAGGTACTGCAGCCACAATTAAGGGTGTGCTGAGCCTGTTTATCTGCTAAGGGAAGTGATTCTCCCTATTTCTGCAGTCTAGGTTCTGCCCCTTTAAAAAGCTCCTAAGGAGCCTCGTATTAATTAAAACAAGAGGAACACTGTTAAGATTTATTTTTAAATTATAAAATGAGTTGCTTTCTTTGCTTCCTATCCTCTGATGACACAACTGCCTGTCGGTTAAAGCGCCAGAACCACGTGTGCTTCATTGGGATCAATTGTATTAAAAATGCAATGCTTTCTCCAGCAGCTTATGAATTTCCTTGGAGAAACTTCGCAATAGCAATCAGCTAAAATCCCTCCAGCTTTAAGCAGCTAAATAATGTTTAGTTCCAATCTCCTGCAAGTCCCAGTGAAACGTGCAATATCGCAAAGCAGAATGAATGTGAACTAGAAATAAAACCTGGAAATAAAGGAAGACACCGTCTCAGTTCCATTAAATGATAGGTGTGCTGAAAAGAAAATTATATTGGTTGAAAAAAACAAAGGAAAAAGAGCTCATTTAAAACAGATAGCTTTTAGGTCAAGCAGGAGGACCAAGCTGCCTATGTGATTTCCAGGACAAACACGCAATTAAGTTAATTTTAACTTTATGCACAAGAAAAAGGTTACAGTTTATACCTCCTGAACTTTTGTTTGTTCGCTACAAAACAGCCTTCAGTGTCCAAGCAAGTGTCATAGAAAACACAAGATATTTGCATTCTTGCATGTCAACTAAAACACATAAAGCTTAATATTACAGTTTAGTAACATACCTGCTTATAAGACAGATATTATTTAGAACTTTTCCAAAAAGAAAACACCCAAAATGCTAAATATTACTTTCTCAAATGTTGCATGACTTGATATGAGTTAGCCCACTTCCAAACCTTCGTACATCATCTTGACTACTGTATGACAGCTCAATTATTAATAAAATCAACAAGCAGCCTCAATATTTTATCAACTACATAACATATCCCACACACAATAAAAATTATAACAGTATTTTTCTACTTCAGAGAAAAGACATAGACAAGAGTGTTTTCTGCGTATTTGGATCTGCAATAGCTTGACCATGGAAAATTGTCAAAATATATAAAAAGGTTCAACTTAAATCAATAAGAAAATTATGTCTTATATGTAAAAAAGTCAATAACATTGACTTCAGGACTCAAGCCAAAGAACCGAGGGTAAAGACCTCAAGGTCTCTAACTTTGACACCGCCTTGTCCTTAAACAGTTAGAAACTCCTAGACTTGCCACTGGTTCTGTCAAGCAGAGAAAAACACACAGATAGGCTGGCACACAGAAAGGTAAAGGTGTTTCTGTATTTTCAATAGCAGGATAAAGGAAAAGCACTTCATAACAATTTAGCCCAAAAAAACCTTGAGCAGAAACTTGCATTTGAATGTTTAACTTGAGTGCACTGGTGCACACAAAGCCCAAGACAAACCAGCGTGGTAGGTACTGGTGTGATTACTAATCACACAGTATGCACGAAAAAGTGGCCCTCACAACAGGCAGACATGCAGACAACTAGGGAAGAGCAGACAGGAATTCCACTGTAGGCAGTTTATAGAAAAAAGCTAAGAGAATTTGTAGGTCTTCTCCATATGAAACAATTTGCCACTGGCTTAGCTGCCTGGCTGACCAGGAAACTCTTAGGTTAACAGCCCCACCCCATTCTGTAAATGGACAGCATCACTCTCCAGCATTCTAGCAAGGCAAGCTGCTTCATCACTTCCTATGCAGGGCACATGGCTTGCTTTACCTCATTGGTGTTCCATCTGTGTCTCTCCTTCGGCAGCGACGAGCATTTTGGTAGACATTCAAGCAGCTTTTTGGGTAGGAATATTTTCACATGACTGCCGTTACTGTTTCCATGATCATCTGAAAATGAAGAGAGCAAAACAGATTAAACCCATTCAAAGACAAGTGGAGATCAAATATCTTAACACAGGGTGTATGATGAATGACCAAGTCCCTCTGTGCTCTAACATGAAGGACACACATGTGGTGAAAGGGGAAGCAGAAAAGCCACACATCTTTGTCAGCAACTATATCACCCTGCAAGTCACAATTGGCAACCCTCGGATGCTCAGCAGGTGTGAGCCTGGCTAGGAGAGACCTCCTGGGAAAGCTAAGGCTGCTGCAGAAACAGGTGTTGATGGGACCAGTAGGGGGCGCTCACCCTGCAGTCTGTGTGGGTCCTAAGACTCCACTATGCTGTTCTTCAGATGAGACTTAAGACCAAGGTCCTGGATCCACATGGTTGTTAAAAATCCCAGAGTGTTTCTCGAAAAGAGTAGGGGTGTTAACCCTGGTCTCCTGGCCAAATGCCCCCCTGGCCTTTATCAGTCATGGCCTCATAATATTCCTCATCAATGAACTGGCTTCCTCACTCAGTTATCCTCCCCACTGATAGCTGGTGTGTGGTGAGCGTACCGGTGCACTTTGGCTGCCATCGCATCATCCATGTGGAAGCTGCACAATGGTGGTGGTGGAGGGGAGTCCCTATTACCTCAAGCTCGTTGAGTGTAGTGTCCAGAAAAGCACTTTGTAAGTGTAAGGATATTATTATTTACATCGAGCCACTGGAACACAGGAATCCACTCAGCTGTGCTGCTCAATCACAATTGAAAAGCTGGGCTGTTTGGGTAAGTACACCTCGAGTTTATAGATAATCCATTCCATTAAGGACTCCTAAATTCTTAAGCAATTATACATTGGGTCATTCGGAAGTAGGTAGTCCCAATATATGTTTCTATTTCACTACCACTTTAAAAAGTATAGGAGCAACAGGAATGTACTGGAGGAGCAATATTAGAGTCTCTTTTCCTTCATTTAGAGGCGAAACTCATCAACAGCTCTCCGTTCTCAGCACTTGGTTTGGAAATGCTGTTCTTGTTCTTCCTAAGGGTCTTTACTTTCTAGAGCAAATGACTCTTCCATGTCCAGCTAAACAAAGCGTATTTTAATGAGCAAGCTCAGAAACCTGAAGGCACCCCAAAAATGTTTTACAGTTGTCTCCAGGGATGGGAGATATGAAAGTTGATACCATCGCTACATATCCCGCATTTGATAATCCTTCCCATTTAGAAACATTCTGCAGATTTTAATGAACTGTTTTTCACATAATACCAGCCTTACACAAAATAAATACATTTACTTTCTAATCTGTTTAAACAAACACTGTTATGCCGAGATATATCTGGAGAATGAAAAAGAAGCATGGTGTGAGGCAGGAAACCGTACAAGACCATCCAATTACAAAAGTAAACACGCAGGTAAACAAGCATTGCTGGATGTATTTATAAATAAACCCAGCAAATCATTACCAATCACGGAGTATGCATGAAGAAGTAACTCTCTCTCTCTCTCATCCTAGTGTTAATCCCGCATCAG